TGTCAGTTTGCCAATTAGGACTAGACGCAAAGTTATCTTCTCTTTGTTGGTTTGCTGACTGGATTACACGTACATCTGATTGTATGCCTGCAGGTGGCAGAAGGAGAAGCCCGTGTGTCTCTGCTGCAGAGAGAGGTGGAGAGGCTGAGCCAGGCTCTGCTCAAAGCTCAGGAAGGAGAGTCTTTATTCAAAGAGATGACCTCTTCCCTCAAAAAGACCCTCCAGGAGGCTTCATCTTCTCACAGCAGCACACAGAGTCGCCTGAACGCTCTGCAGAAGACGCTGAGCGTGGCTGAGCAGGACAAAAGGCTTCTACAGGTGAGTGAGGCGGAAGGGAATTGTTGGACAAAGTGGAAAACACCCAGAGAGAGTTGTGATGATTATTTTGTGCCACTCAGGAGCGGATGGATGAAGCCCGGGCGGCACTATCGGAGGGGAAAAGGAACGTGGTCATCCTCACTGAGCGTGTGCAAAGTTTGCAGAGTGAGCTGGAACAGAGCAAGCTGAGACGAGAAGAAGCGGAGGCCGAGCTCAACAACACTCAAAAGGTGAGAGAGACGATGGGAGGGCAAATATCTGCAATAATAACGTCCTCATCAAAACATGACAAAAGGAACAAATTAACTCAGTTTACCAACGCATTTAATGCGTTAACGCTCACAATGTGACTGCTTTTCCTACTTCTCTGGAGTCATGTCTCTCTATGTGATCTTTCCCTCCATCAGGCTCTTTGTCAGCGCTCTGTCGGTGTGGCAGAGGCTCAGCGCGGCGCCCAGTCGGCTCAGACAGAGCGGGCCGCTGTGGAGGAGCGGCTGCGTGGGCTGCAGCGAGCCGTGGCCATGCTCGAGACAGAGAAAAAAGATGCAGAGAGACAAGCTGTGAGGCTGGAGAAAGACAAGGACGCACTGAGGAATACACTGGATAAGGTCAGCGCTGCACAGTGGCTTGTGCTCAACAAATGTGACAAATATTTGTATTCAATCGTTTCTTTGTGAGTTCAAAAATGGTTTATGGACACATAAAGCTTTGTGATCCCATTGGGTCAAAGTGAGCATGGTGAAATTTGATACTAGAGTCATAAAGGAAGATGACATGTTAACATTTTCCAAAACCCACATATATGCAATCATTTTGGTTTAGGAGCAATTCAAGATAATATTGTTTGGTGAATGATGGAGACAGGATTTTCTTTTTTACACAAGACAAGAATTATTGGCTCGGTAGGACCTCATTTGAGCTTGCCTCAGTTGTTTAGCATATGAAAACGTTCTTCATACATATACAAATACAAATATTCACCTGAAACATAAAGAGTCTGCAGCCATGCCAGCTGTTGTGCGGATGTGATTTTTATGTAGGTGCTCTCAAGCTTTTCTTACCACCCTTCTCATCAGGTTGAGCGTCAGAAGCTGAAGACTGAGGAAGGCAGTATGCGGCTCTCTGCGGAGAAAAGCCGCTTGGACCGCTCTCTGAACACCACTGAGCAGGAGCTGCAGGACGCACAGCAACAGATCCTGATGCTGCAGGTGGGGATCAAACCTACACTCACACATTCATCATATGTCTTATCTGCTGGTTTCCAGTGTGTACTGAAGGCAAAAGCTTAGCCGCTTCCCACCTCTAAATGTTACTGAATAGTCCACCATGTATAACTGATGGAGAAACAGGGCAAACCTTTTACAAACATCTTTAACATGACCAATTCATTTAATAGTTGTGGCTTTATATGTTTTTGTAGAGTTATGTAGAGCATCTTATTATTTAAACCATAAAACCCCTATTTAAAAGACTGTTTACGCTAAGTGGATCCCTGTATCCTCACTGATAAACATCACATTCACTGCAGTAAATGTCACAAGACAAGGCTAGCTTGTGCCTCACTGTTACATTAGAAGGATTAGATCAATTAATAACTCAAACCTTTTATAACTGCGTGAAATAAAACATTTATTTCGACTCCCTTAATTCTAATTAGTAGACACACAACTTTAGAATGTTCTGTTAATGTCAGTGTTACTTAATAACCTCTTCATCTCTAGATACATCTGCTTCTTGTTACACATCAAACGTTCCCATTCAAGATCTGTTTTTCTTTATCTCTGCACCATTCATTATTGTCAGTGTTTCACTCCAAAAACAAAAGGTTAGACCAATCCCAGTCATAACGACTTACCACAGACACACCATGAACAAGCAAATAATTAAAGCTATGTGGGGTTTAGAAAGAATTCCGTAAGAGTAATTCAACTTGTTTATTTCAGGCTGATTTTACATCTCGGACCACTGTTCATTTATCTGCATTTAGTTAGATATTGCCCAGGCTGCAGAAGAATTCATGTACCAAAACCCTCAAGATATTGCAAAAAGCTCCATTATGTTTGTACAACTTCAGAGGTGATACAAAAAAAAAATGTTGAACAAAAGCTGTGGAAAGTAAGAAAGAGAAGTGCAGCTTGTGTCATTGAACCTATAAACTACAAGCTATAGGCCTGTGGGAGGTTTCTCTACTGAGGGGTCATTAGCCATTTGTTAAAGGACCTTCTCCAGACCAATAAACATCACAGGTGTTAGTTTTGTCTCAGTGACGTAACCATCAACAGATTTGTGATGTTTACGCGTCTATAAAAGTCTACTTTATTACCCAAGTTAAGATATATTATTATTATTAAGTTATATGATAGGCATCCTTTCCAATCCTACCAAAAATGCTCCTTTAGGCCTTCAAAAGGGAGCTACAATTACTTTAAATAAAGTACAGCATCTAACCATTTATTTTCAGCTGGTGGATCATCTTTACACCAAATTCTTGCAAAGCTTTTTTGTAGGCTCAAGTTACATGTTCTTTGTATGCCCTCTTTAATATTCCCTATAGGTACAGGTATAGGTTGGAAAGGAAGATTTCATAATGGCTTTTATACCTGCATTTCAACGTACCAGAAGGGCTTTAGTTAAGTGTATTTCCAAAAAGCATGAGTATGGTATTCCTCCATGAGGACACAGAGCCTTAATCAAGGCTGTTTGGTAACTGGATGTCTGCTTTTGATCCAGAGTTTTATAAAGAAGCAAAGTCTCTCCTCCGTTTTTATAATATAAACTGTCCTGAGTTCATCTGGCCAGCCTTTTTGTCCTTCTCCTTTGTGTTAACATTTGGCCTTCTGCGTGTGTGTGCATGTGTGTGTGCGTGTGTGTCTTGAGTAGACTCAGCTGGCTGAGACGGAGCAGTCACAGAATCTGTGTGAGAGTTTTGCGAGGCAGCGGGACGAGGCCCAGCGGGAGGCGGAGAGACTCAGGACGAGCTTCAGGGACGTGGAGCGCACGCTGGGCACCAGAGAGCGAGCTCACCGACACAGAGTGAAGGGCCTGGAGGAGCAGGTAACGCATCATGGTGTAGTCAAAGTCCTTCTCATATTAAATATTTTCCTTCCCTGCTACAATTAAATAGCTGGTTTAGGTGTGTAGTATTAAATGTAGTAATTCTACATAAATGAGGGATTTAAGTATGTCTGTCCGGCACTAGAGGTGTTTTGAAATAGGATGTCGGTTTGTGCCAAATCATAATGAAACAAAGGAAAAGAACAGAAAGTCCTGGAAAATGTAAAAAAGCAAATAAGCCGAATAATAACCTAAATGACTCAGCCTTACTGCAGGTTGCTACCACTAACAGCACTCTCACACCCACAGACGCTTAAACAGTACAGGCCTTCTGTTCCCACCCTAAATTGGACAAAACCACTGCATGGGACTAGCTAAACCAGCGAGAGATATTCCCACTAAAACCTGATCCTTAAAGGAACATGGCAAGCCTTTGATTGCGAAAAACATTTAAAGGTGAGCAACTAACTCTTCCCTTATGTGATGGATGTTATGCTCCATGACTAACCAACAGTGTCTGGCAACACAAGAGGAGGAAGACCCTCGCCTTCCTCTGTATACAAATTGCTAAAGACAACAATAACACTGGTAAAAAGGAAAGGCCAAATCAGAAGAGGGAGGACATGTTGGGATCAGGGCTTGTGAAAAGGTAAAAAGGAAACCTTCTCACAGAGTGTAAAATGTCGTTTTGTCACCATCTGTATCTCTGCAGGTGTCCACCTTAAAGGAGCAGCTGCAGCAGGAGATGAAACGGCGACAAACTTCTCTTCCTCCCTCCTTATTGTCGGCAGGAAAGTGAGATCCAGAATAAAACCAGAAGCACCAGCACATCACGTCCAGGGAAAATCCACTAATCACGAATGTCTGAAAGCAATATTTACTCACAGAAACGATCCTGAAAGTCTTCATACTCTGAATCTACTGTTTAACTTGTTTTACTTTGTGACACTACTATCATTTCGATGGTGATTTATTGATATTTTGTACAGTGAAACACACTTTACCAGTCGTGCAGCACACATTCAGCTCATGTCAGGCGATGTGATTCAGCAGCTGGGCTGAAAACGCCAGCCGTCCGATGATTACTGGCAACCATCTGTACTTGATCCTTGCCCAACGTCCTCCCAAACGTCCTGCTTTTATTCAAGAAGAAAAACCAAACCACTGCAAAGGAGTCTCCTCCAGACAGAATCTGGATGTAGTGCAGGAACGAAAGTCTGCCAGTTGTGCAGTTTGGCCTCGATTTCTCCACATTTATATTAACAGTCGAGGAGCAGCGAGGTCTACACTGTGTGCAAGGGCCAGGAAACAGAATTATGAAGGAGCTGCACTGTATTTCCATTGAGAAACAGGCACATATTTTTCTGATTTTATAGATAGTTTTATAACAAAAAAGGAGACCATAAGGCACTACATATGATGGTATGCTTACAGTACATGTTTCTAAAAGTTAATATTAGTTTTACTAGATGTATTCTTTGTACTTATTGTGTAAATGCTGACAGGCTGATGATGAATGACAGCTATATGACTTAAATAAACTCACGTGTGCTCCATCATTCACGTCTTTCAGCGCTCTGAGCTTCCTCCTCAGATGAAATTACAGCGATGACTCAATCACACAATGAACAGATGTAGTAAAAAAAGTTTATTTTTTTTCTCAGTCTTTATAGTGACAGTTTTCTGACAGTTTTACAAAGCAGTAGTACAGAGGCCGTTTGTGAGATGCCTTTCGAAAGCACTTGTTGCCACTGAAGTATTTGTATGTAAGCTCGGTTGCTAAGCACAGATCCAGGTGGCAGTAGTACAAACACTGAGGTCTCTCACCACGCATCTCATGATCTACCATGGCTGGATATTCATTCGTTTTTCTGATGTCAGTGCACAGGGGCCCCCACTGATGAGTTGCTCATCATGAGACTGCTTTTCAACACAAGTACAGTAACATACCAACAAACACAAAGCACGAGATTAATACGGTACAATATGCCAAATAGAAATAAGATGTTCCGCAGTCTTATGTGCATCTCTATTCGTTTTTATAGCACCCGTGTGATGATGTTGTAGCACCAGCGATTTATACAATCATCAATGTTCTTTGGAGTATATTCATCCATACACACAGGATCTACTGGGCAGACATACATGGTAAAAGACAAAGATAAACACAACAAAAAAGTGCTTTTCGCACAGGAGTAATAATTGGTAGGCCTACAGGAAAGAGTCAGAAGGTAAAGTCAGGAGAAAGTGGGAGCAGGAAGAGGATGAGGAGGGGTTGAAGAAGAAGTGGCAGTATCTGGGCAGGTCGTGTCCCTGATCTCTGAATCCATCAGCAGCCACCGCAGCTCTTCCCACAGCTTCCTCCTATCGATGAGCACTGACCACTCACCGCCGCCACGCCGCAACGAGAGAACTGATCACGACACATGTCCGCTAAACACAGAGACCCAGAGTTAAGAAGGAAAAATATCTACTTTGTTTAAACATTGTGTAGGCCTAGGCTACCTCTAATCTTCTAAAAGCAATAGTCCTAAAATAACAAGAAAGTCTTAAAGGTCCCCTATTATACTGTTTTTCATCAATATATTATAGGTCTCAGATATATACAAAACATGTCTCTGAAGTGTTTGGCTCGAAATACCAAACAGACCGTGCATTGTAGCATCCCATAAACCCCTCTGTTTCAGCCCTGTTTCAAAAGGGCTGATTCTGTGTCTGTAGCTTTAGATGAAAATAAGGTTCCACTCCCAACACCCCTCTGAGAGATATTTGGTTAAAAAGAACACAATGGTGCTCTAGTGCCACTTTCACACCAACGCGGTTCCAGGGCCGGTTCGGAGCTAGAGCCTGATAAGCACCGTTTTTTTCCTGTTCACACCGCAGCGGAGCCGGCTCTAAGCACCGAAAACCGGTGCTTACCAAGCACCAAAATATTGTCGGTCTAGAAGCAAGAACCGCATACGTCACGCTTACGTCGGAGGCCGGGGCAGGGGCGGGATCAACCTGAGCAATAACAGTTTATGGCGAGTACGGCAAATTAAAGTTGTAACAAGCAGTAGCGCTGACCAAAGTGACTAGAATGCAACCACACACTTCTTAAAAAAAAACACACTTTATAAAGTCAGGCAACACTAACCAGGCTTCGTGTGATTCTGTTTATTTGTACCTTACTTTGACCATCCGTTCGCTGTTATTGATCATTGTGGAGAGCAGGCAGACATTTGTTTTGTATTATAGCAGCTATCGGATGGAATCAATACATGGGCTGCACAGGTTGTCATGTCCGACTATCACAAGTAGAATCATAATGAAAAATACGCCGGTAAAATGTGCCTCTAGAAAACGGCTTATGCCACAATAGGATAGCAACAAGTAGTCAAGATAGTCAGTTTAGCTTCGGTTGCTATGCTAACATCACCCATTTTATACCAGAGAAACTTTCATAACAGCGCTGTGATGCCAAACAGCGGGCAGCACTGCAGCGGTCGGTAAATGCGGCTGAAACACATTAATAAACAATGAACCACGGCACTCTGGAGAAAAGTATAAGGGTTGAGAAGTAGTTATTTAATTTAATCTGGCTTCGTATGATTAAAGGCAACACGATCATCGACCCGACGCCGTTGGGGAGAAAATCAGCGACGTAAACGGTGATGTCATGACGCAGCCGCGGCAGCACCAGTCGGGCTCTGGGCGGTGTGAACAAAACGGAGGCTGAAAATAAAAACCGGTTCCGAACCAGAAGAGCACTAGCACGGAACGGGAACCGCGTTGGTGTGAAAGGGGCATAGGAGGAGATTCAATTGATAAGGTGGGGGGTGTTATCTTGGTTGGTGATTGGCTAATGGTTACACAAGCCAAAAAATCGTTATGACATCATAAAGTGGGCAAAATCTGATCAGCTGATTTTCGGACAGGTTTTTATATAAATGGATCAGGACAAAAAGAGAGGGGGTCTTTTTTCCGGAAACTTTCAGAATCTCTTTACACAGAGGGGACACATGTTTATGTATAAAAGACGCGAAAAAGTGGATTTTTCATAATAGGTGACCTTTAAAAGTTTTGAAATCTATGCATTTCCAAATAAGACAAACAAACCTTGTTGAGAATAGAAAGAAATACTGCCAAAACATCTGACTATGTTCAAGCCTTCCATTACTGCAGACCGATAAACCCAGGATGATAGGGAGGCTGTGCTAAATGTCTGTTCTGCTTGTTTACCTTTGTACTGCTGTTTTGTTCTGTGTTTATGTTTATACTTCATACCAAGATTTGGTCTACAGTAAATAAATCAGATTCTACAATTACAAGTGTCAAACACAAAGAAAGCATAACTCTGAACGCACCTCTGAGCAGCTCTTCATGTGCACACACAGTCCTCACGCAAACCTCTTTGTTGATGACGTACACCCGTCGCAAGCTTAATGGAAACAAAAGCAGAGGTCAACTATTACACTGGAAAGATAAAAGCAACAATAACTTCATCAGGTATTATCTCTATCCTATCTAAACCATGCTGTTTTTTCCAGCAATCTCACATACACCATATTGGCGAAATTACCAAATAGATCAAAGTACACCAATCAAAAAGGTAAACAGTAACTTTTGAGCTCTCTGTTTGAAGCTGTTTTGAAAAGATTGTTTTAGGTATTTGAATGAATTTGTGATTTTTGGAGATTTCGTAGAAGTTGATTCAATAGTTTGGATTTAAGTGCTTACCTGTAGAAGCAGAGGCTGTTCAGGCACTGCTTGCATGGCTTGTGAACAGAGTAGAGTCTGGTGCAGGGATACTGCTCCTCTCTGCAGTCTGGAAGTCAAACCAGCAAAATCATCATTATGTGATTTAAACTAAACAACTGATTTATCGCTCATCCTTTCTCAAGTTTTCTTACCAAGTGGGCCAGGCTCTGTGGGCTCTGTCTCCAGATCGGAATCTGATGTTCACATGGAAAAGAGATTTGCAAATGAGTTCAAAAAACAATACAAACGCATGATATATCCTGATCCTGACAGATATAATACCTGATTTTTCTGGACGAACCACTGGCTGGAGGCGAACCTGCTGCTGGTAGGTTCCAGGAGGAGAGTCAGGATTTTCAGAGTCTGAACAAGAGAAAGAGGAATCATTTCATTTTTTTAAAACACCCATGTTTAGCTACTAACATCAAGGAATATTCTTAAGAACATAATAATGCTTTACCTGGGAAATAATCCGGCCCATAGTCCTCTGTGAAGCCATGGAACAAGAAGAAGAAGAAGAAGAGAAAATAGTTTAATGGCATCAACATTGTGGAACTAATTACAGGCAGTACTTCCCACAACAAAAAGCATTGCGCCATAAAAAATAAACCACCTGCACGCCAACACTGAACAAAACAAGCCATTTGCAAGGGTGTAATGACTTCATATGCAAGATGTTCGAAAATAATAACGTGCAGTTACAAAAGTGCTATTTACACTGTGAGCACAGTTGCTGTGCGGGTGGTAAATAACAAAGTGATGAGGAGAGAGATCCTTGAGGCTAGGTGGACACATCAGAGGACATACAGAGATGGAGAACAGATGTGCGGAGCTGGGATATAAACTGATGGTGAGCTGCAACAATCAAATCGAGATTCTCTTAATGAACTCACCCAGAAAAGGAAAGGGTTCCTGGTACTGAGCCTGGGCGAGCAGCAGGGCTGTTGACATTTCACAAGAATAATCACAAAGATGGGGTGATGAGTGAAATACAGGGAAGGAAGGTCGGCATTTACTCTGAATACTGTAACTGAGCATCTTGTTTTCTCTTTTTTAGGTACACTTCTACTTTTGGTTTTGGTTTTAAATGTCCATGTTTGAACATTGTACTTTTTCTTGAAATCTTCCTACCACAAATGGCATTTTGAGTTCTTATGACATAAAACACACCCTTATTTATTTCCATATATTCAATAGAATACGCCATTCTTGATCTGTTTGACTGTTGTTAGCCAGTGCTTGATATTACGCTTGATATTGCGTAACACTTTGGAGCATGCACCATTTTCCTGTTCCTCCCTTCTGCAGCCACAGTGAGCCAAAGCTACATCAAGACACCAGACCACGAGTGAGTTCTGGTTTGAATTGAGCCATGGTGTGTTTTAATTATTACTTTTTTTAAAACAGTTTTTTAGTTTTATGAGATTTTTTTGTCTTTGAAGGGGTTCATATTAAAGTTTGCTTCGTTAGCCCCCATAGTCATACCAGGCCAAGTAATGCTGAAAAAACCCCTGAGTGTATTGAACTGAGAAAGTGTTTTTGCTGCCAAATTGTTTTCGGTTTGATTCGATTTGTTTGTTTTTCTGTTTTCAGGATTTAAAATAATGCTGGCCCCAATTTTTGAAGTGTGTTGAATGTGCCAAGGATGAACACTTACAATGTTGCACAGGATCTGACTCACAAGGCGGATACACACATTACTTTACTTTGCTAACATTGGTGGCCTTTTAGTTTCTTATGAATTCAACTTTTTATTTCCAAGAGTGTGTTTAATTTCTGCTTTCAAAGGTAACATAGTCTTGCAATAGTGCAAAGCATTACTATTTTCTTTAACTATTTAAGATTGCTTTTAAATTACATTACCTTATGAGAAAGTATGTAAGACAGAGCAAAGCTAGTTATTTCCCCGTTCACAGTCTTTATGCTAAGCTAAACTAACGGGTAGCTGTTGCTTCAAATATATTCAGTTGTATCAATCTTCTCATCATCATTAGCAGAAGATTTAATACAAGTATTTATGATAATGAATATCCTTTAACTGTAATGGTTGCACCGTTTAGTAATGAATATGAGTTATAATAAGTGATATAGGTCTTCAGGGGCTTCAGTGGTCGGTTGGTGCAGTTACCTGGCATGCAGATGAGTAGGAGGACTCTCATGGTCACTCTGGGAGGTAGACTGACTTTAACCCTGAGGAGGAGATAAGGGGAAAGTTAATAATCAAAACAGAGCAACACGAGGGGAATAAAGAGCTCAGGGCTGGATATTCCTGAACTCTCTTCTCCCCTCTTTGTCCTTGCCCTCCGTCACCTTTCCAACCCCCCACTGTTCTCCCCTCTCTCTGCCCTCCTTCCTCCCCCTCTCACCCTCCACTGGCCCCAAACAGCCACGGCAAGAAAAAGAGGGGGAGAAAAGTCTGACAGCAAGAATGTGGCACGTCTGTCTTCCTAGGAACAATCTCTCTGTTTTCCCACTTTTCCTCACTGCAGCAGACAGTCTTGGGGCTGCATTCCAGGAAAGGAAACAGAGGACCCCTCAACCCCACCCCTCTCCCTGAGTTTTCTTCATCCCTCCCTCCCTCTCTCTGTCTGTCTCCACATCCTTCATTTCCCTTCTGTCGCCCTCACTGGTCATTTCCTCGAACCCCCTCCTCCTTTTGCCCCTTTTCTTTCTTCTTCACTCCACAGAGCAAAAGCCTCTCATGTTGAGTGGAAATGACATGTGGACAGAAAAACATGAACAATGACAGCATCAGGACATCAAAGACATCACTGATAATCCCCCTTTTAGTTAAATTGTCAATGACACTCCGGAAGTCACTTCGGAAAATGTTGCATACAGCAAAATCCATTACCTTAACTTCCTCCAACACTCACTAAACTACTTTTCCACTTTGTGGAAAGTATGAATGCTTCTCCTTTGCTGCAGCACAGCAGGCTGTTTCTCACACACACACACACACACACACACACACACACACACACACACACACACACACACACACACACACACACACACACACACACACACACACACACACACACACACACACACACACACACACACACACACACACACACACACACACACACACACACACGCATTCTTCTTGTGCATCACAGTGGCTATCGGAAACCATATGTTTTCACAGCACACATCTGGGAGCGATTAACCCCCCTCTCCCCATTTAGTCCTTCCCTTTCCAGCTAAAGACCCCTTTCCCCCCCACACACACACACACACACACACACACACACACACACACACACACACACACACACACACACACACACACACAAGTTAGAGTTCCTGAGGACAGCAACATGAGATGCAATGCTGTCATTTTGCTTACTTTAGTTTTTAGGCCACTATGACATGTAACAATAAAATACACACATCTAAATCATGCCCTCATCGACCCCAGCCTCTGGAAGCAACTGGTTTGTGTGTGTGTGTGTGTGTGTTTTCCTTCTTGGCACCCTCTCTCTCCATTGTAGTGCCATTCCTGCAGGCTGAGCTGTGAAGTCCCTCCTCCTGCTCCTCTCCAGTGAAAACACAGCACCACATGTCAGCTCTCAACAGCCATTAACATACACGCAAATTATCCCACAATTATTCGGTACACATTACGCACACTGCTAAACGCTTTGGATGCTTTAATGTCCTTGGAACGTGGACTGGGCTGCATGCAATCTGTGCGCCATCACCTCACAGCTCCTGATTTTTTTCTTCCATAATAATGAGCACAAATGCAACTCAACTTAAGTCTTCTGAAGTATCAGAACCGAAACATGCACAACACAACAAATATTTAAAAAACATATAAAGTAGGTTCAACGATACTACAATTATTTTTCAGTTTCTTACCCAACTTTGCTTCAGTTTGCTCCGACTATCCTCAGCTCTCATGCGTCCTGTGAGTGCAGGAGGACTCGCCACATTGTACCACCCCGCATCTGGAGTCTCCTCCCCGTCCCAGCTCCAGCCCCCGGTCCCAGCACCGACCCTGGACCAGCCGCCGGTCAGGTGCTGAGACCAGACTTACATCTTTATAAAACACTCAATTTAATTGTTTTATTTATTAATTGTAAGTATTTTCTGTTACAAGTTCTTACTGTGATCTGTAGGCTACATATTCTAATTAAAGCAGCAAATCACAATTGCAAACACATTCTAATCTCTGAAAAATCGACTGCTTCCATTCATTATTTTTAATTTTGCATGCATTTTTTTCCTACTAGCTGTTTGAACTGCATTACCAAAACACACATATATGCATTCAGTAGTTACATCTTTGTATTATTTGTAGTTTACAAGAACAGTTGACTCGTAGAAAGATGTTTGGTTTATTGTTGCTTGTATACACCTATTTTCACTTTATTACTTTAGTATTTATAGGTTTTTGTTCCTAGATTATTTTAGTAAACTTATTTTTACATTGACAGCAATGCAAAAGGTCAATAACTTTTCTAACTAACAAATACTCAATTTGAGCTTTTCACAAGTTTGTCTAAGTGTTTATGTCTAGTACCATCTAGGCTGTGCTGCTCTTTAACAAGTTATTCACTTCAGGTCTGAGCAGACGAATTGCCCGAGTGTCACCGACATCTACAGGATACATATTTTTTCACATTTTCCTTAAACTAAACTCAATAATATGAGTGATGAAGCTGATGTTGTAACTCGTTTGAGGCTCTGCACAATAGTGGCATCTAGAGGACACTAACCAACTTAACAAAATAAACAAAGAAAACAGTTGCAGGCATTTAAACGGTTTAATTTCCATCAAAAAAAGGACTGTTGTTGGTATGTTGGAAGATCTGAGGGAACATGATATACTGTATCTCTCTGAAGTGCTGCTAAGCTGAAAAGCAAGCAAAAAAATGTTTACAGAACAAAACCCCTCCTTTTTCTTTGATGTGCAGCAGCAAGTCGCCCCAAATGCTCAAACACAAATACAGTAGCGTTGAAGATATAAATACCTCTGTTATGATACATGTAAGACTCAGACACACACTCTCTCGTGCATTCATACTGTATATGTGCGTTTCATTAACACCAAGTCCTCCAACCACACACACACACACACACCATTAGAGCAGAGTGCAGTCTGTGGAGTGTGGCGGTGGAGCAGATTGGTGTACTGGCCCTTCAGACCTCAAAAAGCATTTTTTATTCAAAATCAATATATAATGTTATCATGGAGGGAAAGATTACAAGAGGAGAACTGAGGTTTCAGACGGCGACCGCCTTCTTCTCCTTGTATGTGGCCATCATCTTCTTGATCTCAGCTATCGCTTTTCCTGGGTTCAGACCCTAGAATAAAGAGACAGACGAGGCAAAAGCAGTGAGAAACAGCACCTCCAGCACGTTATATGTATTGAGGTTTTGTTGATTTTGTTTAACAAAACTAGTAAAAGATATGTTCATAAACTATTTATTTTTTACAATGACAAAGAATGGATGGCCCACATGTAATTAAACAAAACTGGGACTCAAATAACATGCAATACTGCTGACAAAAAATGTATTTAAAAAAATGACAATGTTAATCTTTAACAAACTACAAAATCTCTCTTTATTTTAAACAAAGAACAGCAGACAACCTTTTAAATACAATTTTTATTTTCTTTCAATGTAGCACTTTTCTGTTTCTGATATTGTGGCTAAACTATAATGACTGCAATGCTAAATATAATCTGGTGACCAAAAACACTAAAATACCAGTCCTAGTGATTAAAGGGCAGGAGAAATAAGCGGTGTTATGCTGTGTGGCTGTGGAGATGCACAGCAGGTTACCTTGGGGCAGGTCTTGGTGCAGTTCATGATGGTGTGGCAGCGGTAGAGGGAGAAAGGATCCTGCAGCTTGGCCAGACGTTCCTCCGTGAACTCGTCTCGGGAGTCGATCATCCAACGGTACGCCTGAGAGACAACACAATGGGACCCATGAGCTCTTCATTCGTTGTATTTTTTAAATGCAAATTCAGAATAAAAGTCATTGGCGGGGAAATGTGTGTTTGCTCGGACACACACCTGCATGAGCACAGCGGGGCCGAGGTATTTGTCTCCGTTCCACCAGTAGCTGGGGCAGCTGGTGCTGCAGCAGGCGCACAGGATACACTCGTACAGCCCGTCCTACGCAGGGGAAGAAGGGGTGATATTTATTTTCATGGGACTGGAAAACAGCTATGTGTTACTAAAAATCAAACCCAGCGGTGTACCAGTTTCTGTCTGTCCTCCACGGTCTGCAGGTACTGCTCCTTCCCTTCGTTGGACTCATCCTTCTTCTTCAGGTAGGGCTCGATGGACTTGTACTGGGCGTAGAAGTTACTCATGTCCTGCAGCGACACAGTTGGCATACACGTCAGAAGGGAACTTTATGTAAACAGGGCTTCAGCAAAAGCAGTGAAGAAAAGCTGAGGATGTTTAAGTGTCTAAAAAACGCCTCTGAAACGTTTGCTTGGTTAACTCAGTGCCAGGAATATATGTATTTGTATTGAGTGTGTCATTTTAGAGTCTATAAATCAAAAACATTATTTCAATCTAGGCTAGGCAATCTATACAGCAAATGAACCATGCACATATATATCCTGAATAAATTCAACTAATGATAGAATGAAAAGTCTGTTCATTTAGTAATGTTAGGGTTGAGTAAAACAGATTGGGGCAACATTGTTGGACACAGAAATAAAAACTGACAGGGCCTGTTGTCAGTGGACTCAGTTACTCAGTGATGGTGGACAAATACTCACAGGTACGAGGTCCTTCACCACATACATGTGTGGCAGAGGGTAAATCTTAGAGGGCTTGCTAGTGTTGCTGTCGATCTTGTTGAGACAGGCAAGTGTGTTTCCTCCATTAATGTTCATTGCACAGGATCCACAAATACCTGCATTTAAAATAAATAATTAATACAAATGTATATCATTTCTGAGACAGGAAAATGTGAAGACAAATGTTGTTTTGTATCACAAAAGTGGGCATATGCATTTTTTATTTAAGAGTAATAACATTATTTATTTATTTAGGAAAAGAGGAGTTATGAAGACTGTAACTCTCTGTTAAAAGGCTAATGCTTCTGTACATTGGTTTAACCTTGCCTCCATGTTACTCACCTTCTCTGCAGGAGCGGCGGAAGGTCAGGGTCGGGTCCATTTCATTTTTGATCTTGATCAGGGCGTCAAGAACCATCGGGCCACATCTACATGAAGAAGAACAAAACCAGGCGGTAAATCCAGAATGTCAAGACATGAGTGTAACATTTCTCTGATGTGCTTGACTTGTCCAACAAGAAATTCAGATTAGTATGGAGTCAAGCATTTTTGGATTTGGACTTTATTGGCTGCAGTGTCATGTTGACAGGGGTTAGATGATGTTTCTGCAGGTGATTAGAGAACACATGAGGGAGAGGATGGGAAACATGCCAGACTCTTGGATCCACTTAGGTTAATTTTACCTGAAGGCTGTTCTCAATTAAATAAACATGCCCTCTGTTTACACGCAATTGAGAACTGCATTGAACTAAACTAAGGCCTCCTTCACACGGGAACGTTTGCGTTTATGCACAGTATGCATATTCAAAAAAGTCTTCCGTTCACATGCATTAGTTTCATTTAACGTGTCTGTTCAAACGAGGCCGCTGGAAACGATGTAGTACATATGCCGGGACTGTAAGTGGCGCTGTAACTTCCGCCAAAATACACCAAAAGCAGCGAAGAAGAGCAGCCCGAGCAGCCCGGCAGCAATGTTGCCATGGCTACCCTTCTGTTTAAGGCCCCGGCTCCAAGGGAACGCATACGGCAAAACGTATCGGAGTAACGCAAATGCAACCGCAAAAAACCTTCCGCCCACACGCAATATACACCGGATTGTGTCAAGCTCCACGAGACGGCTCCGTTTACATCCAACCGCTGGAAAAGCTGCAGTACATATGCCGAACCTGTACGTGGCGCTGTAACTTCCTCCACAAAAGCAGCAACTTCCTCCACAAAAGCAGCGAAGAAGAATGGTTGTCATGGCTGCACTTCTGTTTATTCTCCGCGGTGGGGGCGGAGGGAACCGCGCAGAGTTAATGTGTGTTAAAGTTTAAATCTTCATGCTTCCTCATGCAGCAGCTGATCCAGTAAGTAAACCCGACAGTAAAAATAAACATATTTATAACTAGTTTAGGTAGTTTGAGAGGTAATTAAAATAGCTAAGGGTGGTGATCTGACTTGAAGTGTGTGTTTTGCTCCCGCTGCTTCACAGCTGCGTGTCTCCGTCCTGTCAGATTAGACTTCACTCGCGTTTATGTTCATATCGAGATAAAGATAAATAATCTGAATTCAGTGTGCAGTGTACTTTTGCGGGGGTGAGCAGCAGAGGTGGGGAGAGGCGGGGCTATGAAACGCATGACCGTATAGGCGACCCCACGGCCCCGTTGGACCCCCCAGAGCGCTCCGTTCCCAGATCTATCCACCTTTGGACCCGTTGTCGTTTGCGGGGTCTGTTTCTACGTTTCCGTTACGGCGTCGTCAAGCTTAAAGGGCTATACGCATGAGAAATATGCGGATTCAACCCGTTTTCGTCCTCGTGGAGCCTACACCTAAGCCCCGCGGTGGATTTAGCAACATGTAGTTCATGTAATTCTCCATGTCCACTTGTTGCTGATGGTTGTGGTAGAGGAGCTGTAGATTTTGCACTAATATCTGTAGCATGGTCAGTAGCAGTAGCACTAGCAGTAGCTACTGACAGGAGGAAGTGTGTGTGGCGATTGCTGGGCCCTTTCTCATGTCATCAAATGTCCCTCCTCGACTCCTCGGTCCTCCGGTAGTGACCCGGAAATGAATTTTAGCGCGCCATGTTGAAGGACATCTCATTTCTCGAAATGCACATCGAGGACCGAGCATCGAGCGTCGAGGAGGCTCTCTGGAGGAGCTATAACCGAGGATACACTGATGGGTCCTCCACAGTCCTCCACGGCTCCTCCGTGGATGCATTTCCGGGAACAGAGATGTTTCAAAGAGTCGTGACTTATCTCAGCCAATGACAGCTCTGCATGCATCCCCTGGATATTATTTTATTAACTGCTTTCATCGCGACGCGATGTTTACAGTGAGAACAGCTGTGAGGTCCGTGCAGAAAGCAGAGCAGTGTGTATAATATATATCATATCACTCAGTATAACAGGCCTACTCTCTTTATTTGCTTTAGTTTAGTAGATATCTACAAACAAAGAGTCGATATTTTTCTAAAACCATTTAGTGCTTCACATAATAAAATACATAACGGCTGTAGCCTGATTATTATGCTTTAGGAGCTGTAGGTGCGTGTGTGTGGTGTAGGTGTGTGTGGTACAGTGTGTGCGTAGATGCAGCGGAGAGACAGGTCTCAGTTGGTTTGGTGTCCTCTGCTTACTTTTAATACTTGTAAATAAAACTTTTGGCCCGTAATTTATTTTCCTCATTGTAGCGACCAGAGAGGGGAGAGGGGATATATCCAGTCTCTGATAGTGTTACGTTATTATGAGAGTGCTCTGTTTAATTCTGAAATTGTATACATTTATATAAATATATATATAAATATATATATATGTGTGTGTGTGTATGTGTGTGTGTGTGTGTGTGTGTGTCCGCATCTGTAGCCTGTTATTGTCTCATTATACCGCACTGTGAATGAATGAAAGTAAATATATAAGTCGTCATGAACACATCTGTCCATCAGACAGAGGGCTGCTGTGCCTCCTGTCATCATTAATGGACGTCTCTTTAAAATGACCACTCAGAGGAGAGGAGTTCTCATTTCTCTAACCGCCTGCTGCTTCCCCTCCTCTCTCCTCGGTTCCCCTCCTCGGCTCCTCCGCTCGCATCTCCTGTGGGCGGGACTAAGTCTCGAGGATAGGAGTCGAGGAGGGGAGTCGAGCAGGGACATTTGATGACATGAGAAAGGGCCCTGGTATTCAGCGGGATATAGTAATTTCCTCAGCATATGGATAAATGCAACGGGGAAGTTAACTGAAAGAAACCGAATCTGTGGATATTGCATCGACCGACCAAGAAGCACGTCTCTGTGGAGAGGACGCGCTCAGAAAGAGAGATATTCTCTACAAACACCGGGTGAGATCGCTCCTTTGTCAATATAATGGATCAATGCATGAAATCTGACTCTGTTTATTTTGTTTAAGGAGTATATTGGGCGTTAACAATTCTGGTTTGCCTTTTATAATATTATTTCATTCAAGAACCCCTTGTGCGTTTAATTAACACAGCTATTTTTGATAGTTGCTACAGCAGTGAGCAGGAGAGGTGGGGCTATCGCTATTTTTTCAGGAAATATTCGTATAGAGGTGATTACACGGACTCGGTTGACCCCCCAGAGCGTTTTGTTTGCAAATCTATCCACCTTGGGACCCGTTATCGTTTGTGGGGTCCGTTTCTATCGGCCTCGTGTAAATAATAGGGCTATACGCACGCGAAACTATGCAGATACAAGCAGTTTTCTCCTCGTGTAAACAGCGCCTAAGAGATTCGCCTCCCACAATGCAAATGAACATGATCAGCTCATAGCAGTGCCTTTGAAAAAGAGGCATATTCTTCAGTTTAAAAGGATAAGCAGAGATTTTTTTCTGAGAGTCTAGATAATAACATATTCAGCTACACTTCGGCCATTATTTGAGGATATCAGGAAACCTTGTCTTGCGTATTTCAGTCATTTAGGATTGAAAAACACAGGTAGACACACTTCCTCGTGGCAGAGGGAGGAGCTGTAGCACCTACGTGTTGAGGTTGATGTCGTAGGTCTGCATGCGGGGTTTGTCCCCTGGAGTGTCGGGGTCCCATCTGTAAATCTGGAACTTCTTTATTCTGGGCTCAGCTGCTGGAGCCGCCGCTGTCTGGGCATACCGCACCGCCTGAGGCCAGGGAGGGGAGAAAACACAAGATTATTTTGACACTGACTCTACTCATTACACATTACAAAACACTTTGGCGAAAATACTTCACAGTAAGAAACAGAACAGTACTGTACTTCACTAGTTTTTTTCAATATCAGTGGATCTTCTGTGTCTGCTTCTGTAAATAACTTAAACATTAACAACTTAACATGAACCCTAACGCACTGAGTCATAAGTGAAGTATTTATTTTAGTTAAAGCAGAATAACTACAACACAAATAAATAATAATTTATTGATAATATCCATCATTCGTGATCCTAAATTTAAAACATAAAGCATGACATGGTTAAAGATACATTACTCAATGTTTTCTCGTTGTTTGATTTGACTGAATTATGTACTTAAAACATATCATACCTCTTTATAATAAGTAGTTTTAATAGCTAGTATATTTAGTTCACGTTACTATAATAAGATTATCATTGTTTACATGTTTGTTTTGCTCATTTCCTGTCACGTTGCCTGTTTACGTGGACATTAATCGTCTACATTTAAAGATAAACAAACACCAGTCGATAAAGAAGAAAAGTACAGGTTATAAGTGATTGTTGGTCAGTCTAAAGTCAGGTAACTAGTAGCTGACTACGTAACAGGAGCTTCAGAGCATAGACGGAGCCCTCCGCTGTCAACAGGGAGAGCGTTGTTGCTACGATGTGACGTTACCATGAGCAACGCGATGACAGAAGCTCTTGCTGACATTAACGTTTAGTTGAGACGGTTTCTTTATTATAATGTTTAATGTCCACTTACCGCCAGTCCTGCGGGCGAGCGGAACGACAAAACCCCACAGCGGCTCAAGGACGAGAGGCAAGCAGCCGACATTTTGGATATTCTCTGACCTCCACCGCCTGCTATCCCAGCATACACCACGGCTGCGTCATAGCTCTTGTTGGAGCGAATGTTTTGCTGACCGTCGTCTACCGGGCAGACAAGAAAAGTTTTTGTAAAGTAACCTTAAACATGACAGGGGTCATGTCAACATAACCTAGTATCCATAAACTGTATTACTAAAAACATAATTGATGGGAGCACAGTCTCACAGTTGTAATATCTCTTTTGTTATATTCTGATGGATTATAAATACTAATTTTCAAAAAAATGTGAGCCCATATAAACCAATTATATTATTTAAAATAAATCTAGAAATATCATAGTCAGCAATTGGTAATGATTAATGATGCTAGCGTTTTCTTGTCAGCAGTAGACGGGCGGAGCTTCAGCAGAGGACACCTTCCGAGACGACCAGGCTTGCAAATCAAACAAACCCTGTGCGCTTGTGTCAGTTGTCGCACAGCGTGTTGGACACACATAACAGTGAGTCTCTTTACAGTAAGGCTGTGCTAAGGTCACTTCAGTGTTTATATTCTGTTAACAAGAAGACCGTGGTGAAGTAGTGCGCTTGAAGATGGTGTTCCTGTCGCTGTCTTGCTGGATCCGAAGCCGTGGACCGGACAGATACTGGAAAATACAAGACATAGTCAAAAATGCCAAGGTAAGGCCACGACTATTTTCTGGAGGAGAATATGGCTTAGAGCTGTTCTGTCAACAGGTTGTGCTTTTTATAATATTGTAATCTTTGTGAAAGTTACATTTGAAACCTTGTTCAAACCAGACCTTCAGTAAAAGTAATTTGCAATGTTAGTCCTGCTGTGTACAGATGAGCCATGCTGTTTGAGTCGGTTGTAAATATGCCTCATCATTTTTAATCCAATAAATGTAGCATACATAATTATGGTTATTTGGTTTAAGTCATCCCTTCTGTCGCTTCTTCCTCCAGCACTTCAGAGGCAGGAAGAACCGCTGCTACAGCTTGGCAGTGAAGGCGGTCAGGAGGGCTTTCGTCTACGCCACCAAAGGTCGGAGGCTCAAGAAACGCTACATGAGGACGGTGAGACAAGAAATACTCAAATACAAATGTCCTCCAACGACCTGATGACAAACACATGGCACTGACTGCACACAGGCTTCACTCTGAGATTTAAAATGTATGAAATAAAATAGTAAATAAATAGATGGATAGATAGATGAGTATGTAACAGAGGGTAATGTCAGGTTATTAGAAAACAATAAAAAATACTTACAATGCAACAATTTTAGTTGTCATCAAAAATGATTTAAAAAGGTAAATAGACGATACATATAATTAAATTAAATATATAAACATACAACTTGCACAAGGGCTAATATTGTCAATAATTTTTTTTTCAAGCAGTAACAAATTGATTGAAACACAAACAGGAATGAAAACAATTGTAAATAATTTGCATAATTTTAAACAGAACCCAATTGATTGGTCCCATTGTGACTGTTGTCACTAATTCCCATTAACATCATTAATTGTATTTTTTGTGCTCTTTATTTCTTCAGCTCTGGATCTCACGCATTGCAGCAGCATCACGTGAGCACGGCATGAAGTATCCCGTCCTAATGCACAACCTCACCAAGGTAGGCTGTGCTGAATTTCCCAGCGGTGCAACCATCATCTCTGTTTTCCAGGCTGTTTATTCACTCTGTCTGTGTGACATATTTTTTCTTGTCCTTCATACAGTCAAGTGTTCAGCTAAACCGGCGTGTGATCAGCGACATGGCCATCACAGAACCTCGGTCCTTCCTCTCACTTGCAAAAGTGGCGCGGGCTAGACAACAGGAAGGCTTTCGGGCAGCGTTGGGTGACGGCAAAGAGCCCGTGGGTGTCTTCTCCCGTGTTGTTTTGCTACAGTAAAATGACTTGCTTCAGTTACAGATTTCTTATGTTATGTGGTTTAAAGAACTGTGGCAGTGGACTATAAAGATGTTCATTAAACAATTAGGCATCCTATCCCTTACTTTCTTTAAAGTTGTTGCTTTGACTTAGTATGTTTGATCACTTGAGAGTGCTGCTGAGATGACGTGTATCTGAATTGCAACCCAGTTAGCATCACCGTTTTCAGGACAACAAGCCAGTGGGATTATTCTTTGACCACAAACTATAGACTGCAAAACAACGAAATCAGAAGTGCAAAATTCCGGACTAATGTCTGGGATTAAGGTCCAAATCCTGCAACTCTAGTTACCAGGGCTGAGTACAACAACCCACATAAATGTTCACATCTCATTACCAGGGTCAAGTCATCATACAGTACGTGGGTTAAAATGACTGATCAGAGAGCAGACAATGATGCACCTGTCTCTGTCTGCTTCAGGTGTAAATACGTTGACATGTTAAGCAATGAGTAATGTCCCTAAAGTAAAAGAGATACAATATATTGCTCTTGGACATTCTAGCGTCTCTACGAATGACTGACCTTGAAGGTTCCTCTGCTTGCTATGCTCATCTTCAGCCATTCCGCGTTTTTGTGTTACCATGAAAACAGGTTAGACAAATGTAGACGTCTTTTCCTTTTAAGTCCCTATCTGATGATTCCAGCAATTGGCAACTCATGAATACTTTTCAAAATGTGTTAAAGGTGAACCATTTCAAGTTAAGTTTAGAGTAGATGGAAGAATATTTTAGAATTTGTGCACTCTCGTATCATAACAAGGATCTTGTTATAGTCCAAGATGCCAGCTGCAAAGTAATTGTTTGTCCACTTTCTGTCCGCTCTGCTTCTGCCACTGTTCTAACAGTGTTACCACAAGATACTCCTACGGTCGCCCTGATTACCTCCAGTATCATGATTATCAATTTACACAAGCCTCCTTTGCATAATGATAACTTTTTGTTAAGTTAGGATTTGATGATGATTGTGAGTTTTTGGAAGAAGAGTGTCCTTAAGTTTTGTTGATTACTTTTGTCTCTGTAAATATATATTTTGCCATTTGTTTTGGCAAGGTTGTCCTCTAAATGTTTATTCATTAAACATTTTTGATATATATGTTGTCTTCCTGTCTTCTATTTAAACAAGTTAAATATGTGATTATCAGATATATCCGAATTGGATTAGACATTTCTAGCTTTAATTTTGGATGCTTTGTGCCTACAAGTGTTCTTCTGTGAAAGCTGTAATTTTACACTATGCGTAAGTAAAGTTTATTTATAAAGCGCTTTTCACAGACAAAGTCACAAAGTGCTTGACAAAACAATAAGACATCAACATAGGAGGCGTACAATGATCAATGAACACACAAGCCACATGTTAAGAAGTCATAAAAGCACCAGAACATAATTAAGACACAATAAAAACACAATAAAACAAAACTTACAAATGAAATTTAAAACAAACAAAATAAAAACATAGTATAAAATGGAATAAAATCAAGCAGGAATGTCTTTAAAATAGTTTTAGATTTGCTAAAATCTAAAACTTATAACTTTGTGTCTTGAGACAATGTGTGGACACAATTATCTTTATTCAATAAACCCAAGGTAATCGAGAAGCACGTACAACCAGGTTTCAAAACTTAACATTCCTCCAGTACCAACATGTATTCTTGATTATTGCTCTTTGCTAGAAAAACAGTGCTGGACACTACTAAAAGTGCACTCTGTTTACTGGAATACAAATTAAAGATAATTTCACTTTACTTGAACATTTGCATTTTAAAGTTAACTATACTAAAGATAAATGTACTATTTTTAAACTCTCTTTGAAAACAGTGCTGTTTTTCTGATGAAAAGTTGAATTTTAAGAGATATGACACACACTTTTCATAGACCTTAGAATGTACATTGTATAGCATTAGCATAACCTTAAACATCTAAAGCATTGCAATGCAATACACATGAACAGAGCAGTAATATTAATTCACAAAATCATATATAATAGCAAAACCCTTACAGGAAACAATTGACTGCACAATTAGTAGGCTACATTGTTTTAAACGTTTACTACATTTTGCTGATGATACTTCAGATAGTTTTTAATGAAGGACTGTGCTTGTAGTTTTCAGTACTTTTAAGGAAGAAAAGGATCTGAATACTTCTTCCAACCCTGGATACAAAGCACACATGCATTAATGTCAATGACCTTCAATTGACAAAACCAGACACAGCCTGATGCAACCAAAAGAAAACGAATTTCCTGTGATTCGCATGTATGACCCTCTGCGGCTACCGTATCATTTTGGATGGGACTACATCGTGGACTACATGAATGACCTCTACTGGGGACAGGTAGTTGGGCCAGCCAATGAGAAGCAGATGTACTCGATACCAGCCAATCCTCGCTGCAGTTATTCAATCCAACCTGTCATTTATGCTGCACATGCGCAGAAGATTGCGGCATGACACGAGTGTAGTGGAGAGTGCAGTGACAGGTCTCTCGCTCCATACACAAGCGGATAAACTGAGTTTTATTCCTTCTCGTCAAAATGTCGTGGCTGTTCGGCCTGAACAAGGGGCAGCCTGAAGTGCCCCCCGGTCTCCCGGTTCCCCCTGCACCGCCTGCCCCGCCGGCTGGAGGCTCCGGCGGCGGCGGAGATAAACCCAAGGACAAATGGAGCAACTTCGATCCCACCGGGCTGGAGAGGGCTGCTCAGGCGGCCAAGGACCTCGACAACTCCCGTAAGTGTTGTGCAGGGCCGGGTAGCTCAGTGGAGGTTTCTCCTTATTATAAAATTATGACTGCAGAGAGTCGTGATGCTCCAGCATCCAGAACCTCTCCGGTTCACGGTGGTGGTCGCTTCAGTGATGCTGTAGCTTTGGAAATGAGGCCCACATTAACACAGCCAGCTTCTGTGAATGTACATTTTAGGTCAGCTTTGAGACACTGTTGGTTGATCATGAGAACAACGCTGTGTTCTCTCACCTTCATTCAAACTATTGGACTGGGTTCAAAGGTCATCACCTTGCCATCTGGTATGCAACACCCACAATCTGTTGTTTCTCATACATGCATTTATAATTTGAAGCATCGTCCTTATCCGCTAAGGTAATATGAGGTGAACAGAGAGTAGACACAAATCTGTGAGGATTAAGTGCCAGGCAAGCAGGTTACATTGATCACTGGAAGTTTCCATGTTGAGAAGCCACAGCATCTTTTACTACCGTGTTGTTGACTCTCCTCTCTCTCCTCCACCCAGGACATGCCAAAGAAGCTCTGGACTTGTCTCGAATGCAGGAGCAGAGCACTCAGATGGAGCATCAGAGCAAAATAAAGGTACAGTGGAAACGTGTACTATACTACTGCCTTCTTTTCATTTCCAGCAGGGAATGAAGGTGATATTAATTGGGCTAATTTACACACACTAAAGAATACACTCTTTTGTGTGTTTCTGTAACAGGAGTACGAAGCAGCAGTTGAGCAGATCAAAGGAGACCAAATACGAGTTCAAGCGGAGGAGAGGAGGAAAACTCTTAATGAGGAGACCAAGCAGCATCAAGCGGTGAGACAGAGAGGATTTTTTTAAATATATAATAGTTTAAGATCAACTAGAAGTATGCTTTGCAGTGAACTAGAGAGGTTTGAGTTGTGTGGTTATGTTTTGTTTTGTTCTGTTACAGAGAGCTCATTTTCAAGATAAGCTGGCCAGACAGCGATATGAGGACCAACTAAGGCAACAGGTGAGGTCATCTCCCAAATATCGATCAAAAAAAAAGTCTTATAATGTGACATAGTACTAATATATCTTTCTATTACAGCAAACACTGAATGATGAGAACCTCCGCAAACAAGAGGAGTCTGTGCAGAAGCAGGAGGCCATGAGGAAATGTAAGAGGCTTTACCTTTAAGATCTTGTTGAAGCTTTTGAAGATCTTGAGTGGTGGTTTATGTACTTGTTGTGTCTTTTTTATATAGCGACAATAGAGCACGAGATGGGGCTGAGGCACAAGAACGAGCTCCTGCGTATACAGGCCGAGACCAAAGCACGAGCCCAGGTGGAGCGAGAGAACGCCGACATCATCCGCGAGCAAATCCGTCTGAAGGCTGCAGAACACAGGCAGACGGTCCTGGAGTCCATAAAGTAAGACACACAGACCTCTTTAAGATTTAACACTGCAGTTTCTATGATTTTGGGAATTAAAATAGTTTTTGTAATAGTACTATTTTTGCTTCTTCTGCTTAATTCCTCTTACTGTGTTTATGTTTGCACAATTTACACCAAAGCAAATTCCTCGTATGTGTAAACCTACTTGGCAATAAACCAGATTCTGAATCTGGTAAGATGTGTATTGAAAGTTCTTGCTGTCCTTAATCGTGTTACTAGTTCAAACTGAAGGTATTACAAATGAATACCAGTATAAAACTGTAATAGAATAAGTGTTATTTTAGAAGGGATTATTTTTTAATGTTAACTGGTTAATCTAGAGTTGCATCATGTGAACGCCCAAAAGGCATGCTGACAGAGACGTGTATTTGCTTTGTTTTAGGACTGCAGGTGCTGTGTTTGGAGAAGGGTTCAGGGCCTTTGTGTCGGACTGGGACAAAGTTACAGCCACGGTAAGACTTTTGTTTCCATTCAGAATCAGTTTGGGGAATTATTAAACTATAAATACATAAGGAGCCGCTGAAGAAAGACCTGTCAACTACTGAAGCATGTTCATTAAAAAGGCTTCTAATAAATTCAGTCCTTAGCATAAAGTAAATGGTTAAAGCACTGTTTCATACCATTGTTAAAAAAAAGTACCAAAAAAAAAAATCTTTTCATAACATGCATCTGCAAATGATTAAGATTTATTTTTAACATCCAACAAATTAGTAACAAAAAGAACAGTAAACTCTTAATATACACATACTCACAAGTAAAATACAGAAATAAATATGTAATGTCCAAAAAGCGGTAGATAGGAAGAACTATACACTCATATTATCCCAGCGCTTCTCCATAACTCAATTAACTAGGCGCGTTCACACCGGAGTACTTTTACCCCGTACTTTTCCCGTTTAGTTCCGTTAGTACCCCTGATGTCGCGTTCACACCAAAAAGAGTACTTAGTGCCGGGAACTTTTACCCCCATTTTCAGTGCCTGCTAGAGAGGTGGTACCAAAAAAGTACCAATTTCTATTGGCTGGGCGAATTGCAAACCACGCCCCGTAAAACTCTGAAAAGTTTTTTGAAGCCGCCATTGTATTTGTTAGCAGCATTAGCATTAGCCCCGCGCACCAACGGAGAGAGAATAACTTATGGCAACACAAAAGAAAACATGGGAGCGGTGGAGATGAGGAGGTGTCGGCGTTCTGGCGATTTACTCGGAAGGCTTCAGTAGAAGCTGCTGGGAGTCCCAGCAGCTTCTACTGAAGCCAGTCCCGGGGACTTCCGGCCGGGGACTTCCGGCCGGGGACTTCCGGCGGCAGTATACGCCGTGAAGTTGTTTGCAGCCTGCCAGTAAACCCAAAGCAGAAGCAGAAGAAGACGAAGTGACGTCAGCGGCTCATTTGCCTAATCTTCCCTCAGGGAAAAGTACTCCGGTGTGAACGCGATTGGTACTTAGTGCCCTGGGGTAATAAGTGCTGGCACTAAGTACGGCAAAGTACTTGGTGTGAAAGCGGCTAATATTCACCATATATACAACGCTAAAACATTTACCCCATTGCTTTTATGCTTTTGCTATTATTGCCCTATTCATTTAGTTATATTTAGACAAAAGAGTAACAAAACATTTTATTTTGGAAAGTTTGTACTGTCTGTTTCCTGTCATGGCTTTTTATTTGGATGTCTATTATTTGATCCTCAGAGGGAGCATTATTGTGAATGTTGTCTAACTGTTCCTTCTCACCACCAGGTGGCAGGGCTGACCCTTTTAGCTGTGGGAGTTTATTCAGCCCGAAGCGCAACCGGGGTGGCAGGACGTTACATCGAGGCCAGGCTCGGGAAGCCGTCGCTGGTGCGGGAAACGTCCCGATTCACCGTGGCAGAGGTTATCAAGCATCCGGTCAAGGTAGAAAATTAACACATGGATCCTTTGCTTGTTTTGATAGTTGCAGATTATGATATACTAATTGAACTCTTTCTGGTCACTTTTTAGATGGCCAAGCGTCTGAAGAGCAAACCTCAGGACGCTCTTGAGGGAGTTGTGCTCAGTGTAAGTGGACACCACAAAACTACAGAGGATGTAACCAACGTGTATTTCTGAAGTGATGATGTAAATGTATTTTTCTATGTACTATTAGCCTTCCCTGGAGGAGCGTGTACGTGATATTGCCATAGCAACAAGAAACACAAGGCAGAACAACGGCCTGTACAGGAACATCCTGATGTACGGCCCGCCAGGCACGGGCAAAACTCTCTTTGCTAAGGTAAACCTGAGGGCTGAACGACGACTTAATAAACTCCTACATATATGGAAAAAAAGCTTTTCTAACTGTAAGGCCTTTTTTTCCCTATTGAGTAGAAGCTGGCAATGCATTCTGGGATGGACTACGCAATCATGACTGGTGGTGACGTGGCACCCATGGGCCGTGACGGTGTGACAGCCATCCACAAAGTGTTTGACTGGGCTGGCACAAGTCGACGCGGGTAAGCTGCTTAATAGTATACTACATTACGCACTTTTTTTAGAAGACTATACAGACAGCAATACTGTCCACTCCAGATACAAAATCAACAGTTTATCTCATCTTGTGTTTTTTATCCTGTTACAGACTTCTGCTTTTTGTTGATGAAGCTGATGCATTCCTTCGTAAGAGATCCACTGTAAGTTTATTACATTTTTCAGAAACCTAGCTCCATAAGCTAAATGTTCCTTGTTTCAAAATAAATGTTCCTATTCTTTAAATTATCCCTAATTTATTCTAACTCCATATTGTGCAATATTTACTTATGTAGGAAAAGATCAGTGAAGACCTCAGAGCCACTTTGAATGCATTCTTGTATCGCACTGGAGAGCAGAGCAACAAGTAAGAATTGATTTACATTCTGTACAAATTAAACCCTTAAACAGTGGTCATTTTCACATCATTCTCCTTCAACTTCCCACTAAGCTTTTTGATTTCTTTGTTTTTCTGTCAGGTTCATGCTGGTGTTGGCAAGTAACCAACCAGAGCAGTTTGACTGGGCCATAAACGACCGTATCGATGAAATGGTGAACTTTGCTCTTCCGGGTCCTGATGAGAGGGAGAGGCTGGTCCGGCTGTACTTTGACAAATATGTGCTGGAGCCCGCCACTGGAGGGAGGCAGTGAGTACTATCCCAGAAACACAGCCGTTAAATAGGTCAAGTCGCTATAATAAGGTTCAGTCCACCATGTTAATCATTCACATATAGATATATTTATCCTGAGTCATTTTCACGAGTCGTATTATACTTGATAGAGTGAAGCTTTGGCTGAACGTCGTTGCCAGGATGAGGATTAGTTTTAGGCCCTAGATGCAGGTAGTGAAATAGCCTGCTGGTCATCTGGATGCAATTATTACAGAGAGGAGCGATGGAGGCTGAAGAGTGATCCGCAAACAGGACAGGAGGCAATGAACTGAACTCTCATTAATCTGTCCTTGTGTTTGTGTTGTTGTTTTGCAGGAGGATGAAGCTGGCACAGTTTGATTATGGTCAAAAGTGCTCCGACATAGCGAAGCGTATAGAGGGCATGTCAGGAAGAGAGATCTCTAAGCTGGGTGTGGCCTGGCAGGTATGTCCCCTTTTTTTAAATTGAAATCCATAGTTCCATTGTTCCATTGTTTTTCATAAACAGCCATGTAAAATCTTACTTCAAAAATGCTACATCATTTATCTGGAAGAAAATACATTTAAAGACCAGTTGTGTTAACTCGTGTTATCTTTTAGGCGGCAGCATATTCCTCTCAAGATGGCGTCCTGACAGAGGCTATGATTGACGCTCGAGTCGACGAAGCTTTCAAGCAGCACCTTCAGAAGATGGACTGGCTTCATGGAGACGAAGAGGCTCAGACCAGGACCCTTACCCGTCCCCTAGCTGGAGTGAAGGCCGGCGTAGACCAAATGGGCTTCACTTTGCCCCTCAGCGAGGCCCCAGAGGCTCATGAGGTGATCGCTCCAGTTCTTGAGTCAAGTACAAAACTAGAAGGTGAAAGTTTAGCACCTCTTTCAGACATCGACCAACCAGCAGAAGGAAAAAGTGCCCCCCCAGCTGGACAGGACTGTGACGATGCTGTCAAAGCTGCGACAGAAGCAGAGAGTTTAGCCCCCACTGACAGTGAAGGCAAAGTGACAGAAAAGGAAGACAAAGCTGCATCTCCTCCTCCAAAGGATGGAACTCCAGTTTAAGTCTTAGATTTGTTCAATGGGCGGCCTGGATTAGAAAGATTAGTGTCCGGCCTCTTTAACTAGTGTGTCAGTTTGTCTTAAAGTATGTTGGACTGTCTGTGACAGAAGATGAGTTCAGCAGGTAGGAGCAAATAATCAACTAACTTGACAAAAAAAACAAATGATGCCTGACACCTAATATATATGATATACATTGTAAAAGTGTACTTTACATGGAAACCAGACTGTGTGTCTGCAATAACAGTATATAAGTGTTATGCACTGTGGAGAGTCTGTTGAAATGATTAAATGCATCTGTGTTTTTATAAACAAATGATCTCATGTTTTCGGGGTGCAGTTGCTGGTGATGTTACACAACCTGTATAGCAGAGGTCAAGAGAGTCTTTCAGTAAGGGGCATGACATCTTTGGATTTAGTTGTACATAACCCTTGTAAAATGCTTATGTACAATTTAGAAACATCATACCTTGCAATTAAATTATCAAGCATTATTAAGGGTTTTCAAAGACTGTATAGCAACACAATGAATCACGTCAGAGAGGAGGTGGTGAGATTGGATGAGGCAGTGATCCCGTCCTATAGGAACCCACAAGGGATTTCATAACTCATACAAACTAATGGGGGCTTCAGGAAGCTTTTTCTACTGAGCAGAGTCAAGGGTGTGAAGCTGTCCTTGGTTTGAAAAGGCCCCATGATACAACTTCCTGTCAGACATTATAGGATGACTTGATGTTATATGAAGTACAGGTTCACTTAAATATCCAAACAATCTGGTCATTCCTATTATGAAAGTAATATTTTGATGATGGTGAACTTGATTTTAAAAATAGTTTTTCCTGTATGCTCACAACACTGCAACAAGGTCCCCTCAACAGCTTCATTGTGAGTCCGACAACATTAAAGGAAGGCTACCTTATGCAAGCTATCCAATCAAGGCACTAAGTTGCCAGAAAATATAAAGTTATATTTCAACTCACCGGAAAGGGCTATTACGTTATTGAAAATAAAAAACACAAACAAATTAACAACTTAATCTAATCAACATTTGTATCTTCATGTTTCATTAACATTATCACACACATTTTGATTGCTCTGCAGCATGTTCCCACTGGAGTCCTGAATAACTCCATTGTGTTACTGAATGTAGGCCTCCATGACCAGAAACCTGCATCTGGAGAGAAAGACAGGGAAACTGGGATGGTGAAGGCTCCTACATTTGTGTTGGTGTTATAGCTGTAAAGGGGGGGACCAACTTCATATTAATGCCTAAGAATTTGGAATGGGATGTCAAAAGCTCCTGTAGGTGTAATGTGTAGGTGGCCCAATACTTTTTGTCTATATAGTGTATAAAAGTATTGGGACACTCCTCTTAATCATTGAATGCAGGTGTTTGTAATGTGTAGGTGACTCCAAAATCTTGTAGAAAGCCTTCACAAAAGAGTGGAAGCTATTATGACTGCAAAGGGGGGACCAACTTCATATTAATGCCCAATAATTTGGAATATAGTGTATACATGTATGGTCACTGCAGAGGGCCTTCCTTCAGGAACCAAAGGCTTTTCAAACCCTGTCCAGCGACTGCAAGAACAACCTGATGCTGAGGATCAGCAGAAGTCCAACTACCACGTCCATATTCTGCTGGGACCTGATGTCTCTTACAACAAAGTTTGAATCCAACATGGACTGGGACCCGTTATATGGAACCACATCATAGACTTGATGTCTGCAGTAGAGAGAGCAGCAGCCAGTGGTGGGAGATTTGAACACAGAAAAGTAAAGAAAAAAAAATTAACTCACGATGGTGAAAGATTTTTAACATGGGTTTTATGTCCCTGGAGGTAAGAGAATGATTTGATAAATACCAACAGGTCACAGTTGAGTCACAGGAACTAGAGCTCAATTTCTCTGCCTCTGAACAGATATGTCTGAATCACAGACTGGTCTGAACATCTCTTTATTCCACATAGAGTCAGTCATTTAAAACTTTTACTCAGGCCTGTACTTGAGGTACTATATTGTACTTTTTACTCCATTATTATTAATAAACGTGCAAACCTATAGCTATTTACCTCACAGATTCAGATTATTCAATCAAAAAACATCAAATGTATTTTTATATATTCAGCTGCAAAGCTGTATGTAAAGTAGTGCATTTCATCTTTACCAGCTGCAAAATCACTAAATCTATCGATATACAATAACTCTTATACATTTATATATTGATAAATACACATATTTTATAAATGTTTTACTTTAAGTAGCCTACATTTTGATGGTCATCCTTTTTGCACACTGACACGTGACATTTAGAATACTTGACCTCTATTTGTAACCGAGTATTTCTACACTGAGGTATTATTACTTTTTAAACACTTCCCACATATCTTAACATCAACTCACAGAAACCATTAAAACAGGTTCAGGAAGCATCGAGTTTGTCTCACTCTTTACAATAAAGTTGTATTAGATCAGCTGGTTGTATCTGACACCGTGCTCTCCTCTCATTCACGGTAAGAAGAGGTTGTGAAAGCGGTCAGAAAGCGCGTTCATGACAGCACAACGTCACAGTCTGGCAGAATACAATAACAGTAAGCTGAGATAATATGTCATAAAGGTCACATGAAGGTGGAAAGGCATAATGTCCGGCAAAGTTAGGAACATTATGGGGGTTTATCTTACTGCTTGTGTGCACTGCACCCAACAACAGCTGGTCGGTGCTCAGTTATCTTGAACCACAGCAGGGGAGAGTCGGTGATGGATTTTCCAAGTCACAGGTAGATTTACAAATTGTTTTTGTAATCGTAAAAACGGTAAAACGTCTAAACTATTCAACTGCCAACTTTTTGTCGTTTTCACAAATGCAGTCGTTGAGGGTGTTTATTATAGTTTGTCAAGGTGAGGTAAACTTGATTTCTTAAGTCTTCAGCCTACATATGTTTGGTCAGAATAACCTTTGCCTTGGTTAATATACAAGTAAAGACGTATTGTTTTTATTTTAGATTTGTGTATTTGATTTACTGGTTAGAAGGTGAAAATGACCCAAATAAACTGCTCTAGATTAGTGTTGGTCAAAGGTAGCTACATCCAAAGCCAGACCGAGGATTTGATTTAAACTGTTTTGCTTTACGCTAATATTTACAAATTGAAATATTTCTAAATAATCTGTTCACATGTATCTCTAAAATTTAAATCAGACATTAAAATAACCAGGACCATAAGCATAATAGTGGGTAATTGAATGCTAGAAGATTTTGTGTAACAATACCCATTTTACATGAAACCCTCATGAACTACATAACACAAACCAAATAAAGAGCCATGACATGTTTCTTAGAGATGTTTCTTTCTTTCTTTAGAGGATTCATATGTACATACAGAAAAATCAGGCACTCTGAGCCGAGCTCGCAGTTTGCAAATAATTACAATGTTTCAATTCTTTAACATTTACAAAAGAAAAATACATACTATGCCCTGAAAAATAGCATATCCAAGTTGAAATAGAATCAACACATTATATAGGAAACACACTGGAGGAGAGCCTCAGAGGTCTAGGTTTGGTTATCATTATTAGCCCACCCACTTATCCAAACTAATCCACAACACATTGTCACACAAAAACAAGCATTCAGTTCAATTAACTCATCCCCGTCTGACCCCAAAAAAAAACAAAACATTTACACTTCCCAAGATCAGGAATAAAAAGTCTGACATGGGCTTAAATGAATAACAATTATACGGTATATCATCTGGGGGAAACAAAAATCAGCATTCATATGCTGTTCTGAATGTGGCCTAAACCAGAGGGACTGGAGAGGGAGTGGTTGAGTCAGGGTGGGGTGCTATGGCTCTCCCTGAGGAGACATGGTTGAGTGATTTCACTGGACTGGGATGAAGGGCTGACCAAGGCCTGACCAAGGCCTGACCTTGATCAGGAGAAATAAAGGCAGAGCGAGAGCAGCCAGTTCGTCCTCTGCATAGAGGACAAACACCATCATCCCCAATATGTCCAACAGCAGCCATTTGTTAGGTCCTGACCCAAAGCTGCGTGTGTATGTGTGTGTAGTTGTGTAGGCACACAATGTTTATGTATGTCTATCTACTGTGTAGATGACTGAGGAGTAAGAAGTGTGTGTCCATATACTAATGTTTGATTGCTTGTGATCTAGGTTTGTGTGTATTTCAAGTTTCTATTGCGCATTAGTAGAAACAGACAGTGTGGAGAAAAGGCCGGTTGCTCTTCTCCTCAAACTCCTGAATGAGTTCATCCATTTCATCCTCCATGTCATCAGTGTGCTGGATCTGCAGGGATGGGGAGGAAGCACATTAAACACAGCCTGAATGCCAACTACAAATTACCACTAATAAATACCATTTATGAATCTTATTGCACCCTTTCATAGCATAGGAAACTAGCAAATATTGTTTATTAATTCCCATGTTAGTTCTTTAGATTTCTTGTTTCGAGAGTCGTAAAAACAAAAGATATCCAGTTTATTATGATATAATACACAAAAAAGGTGTCCAAGAGGATAAAAAAACAAAACATTTTTGCAATTGTTGCTTGTAACATTACTTTGAGTATACAATTATCAAAATAGTTGCCCATTATTTTACTACTCATTTGCAGCTCTATTTTTATCAGGTGACCACTGAACCCCCTATTTTGGAAATGGGGTAAAATATTTCCTTAAAAAAAAATGTTTACTTGGCTATACAGATTCATCACTAAACCACAATGTCATAGGGGTTACAGCGCAGCCTTGTTGTACTTTGCCTCAGTGGTCCTGTACAACAGCATTTAGATGGAGACACTCACACATTGACACAGCTCACAGATGAGGAAGGCGCCCAGCGTGGCTTCCTCGTGGTTATCCTGAATGTCTACATTGATGACGTGAACAGACTGCAGAGTCTCCTGCTCTCTTGAATTTAGATCTGGGGAACAAGAACAGAAAAATAAAGCAATACAATAAGTGTAATTAAAACTTGGTCTGCCTAAAATCATTTTGGGATAAAAATGTGATTAAGAAAGTTGTATCAAAACAGTGTTCTAGCAAGGGGCTCTGAATTACCAACAACATCCTTTCAGTGATTAGTCATTACTTATAAGAAGCCTCACCCTCCAGCACTTGGTCATAGACTCTCTCTTCACAGGTGATGACCAGGTCAAACTTATCCTTGCAGTTTTGAAAGCGCTCCGGCTTTGATTTGATGCGCTTGTTGCGGTCCAGCATGTGCAGGATGCCATTCTGTGTGTATCTTAGGAGTTGGTAGGTCAAGGAACACAGCAGGAGCGAGAGAAACACTTCAAGGTAATACACTCATCACACTATAAGAGACAGGACCATAGAACAATAAAAAATGGCCAGAAAACAGCCAGTGGGAAAAACAGAAAGATATTAACTTGTTTGAAAAAGAATGCAGATTCTGTTTGCATGCTGGGGTTCACATCTGATTACATCAGTGTTTGTGTGAAACTGCAGCATCCCCTGCTGGTGGCTGAACAAACTACCACTAAACAGCTATTTAAAAAAAAAAAGGGCTGATCGAAGAATGGCATTTCAGGGCCACATTAAAAATGAGTCACTTATAGCTAAAAGCTTCATCTGTCATTGGGCAGATGACTTGTTTAAGCTTAATAAATATATATAAAAAAAGAATAAATTATACAAAATATTTAGTTTATCCAATACTCAATGTTAACAGCAGTCAAACATAAGTCTATGTAAGACTTTCTCTACACAGGATCATCCTTCAATACATTGCCAAATATATAAATAAAAAAAGACCAACCACCATAGCGAATTGTCTATAATAGTGGGCTATATATTTTTTTTTAAAGAAATCCATGCAAATGTGCAAGAATACAAGTCGTTTCGTAAGAAGCAGTATATACACATTATATATTAATACATAGGGGATTAACAGAGCAGCTAATTTACACTTTGTAACACGGCACCTTGGAAATGCAGCAATACAGACAACCTACATATATTTGCAAAATATACACCTGCAATACAGTAAGATTAGCAAGTAACATTTGGTGAAGCACAAATCTCCTAGTTTTTAAACCAGAATTTCACAAGAAGCATATTTAACCAGAATAACTTAAGCTGAGTTTAGACATAGCCCTACATTTAGATTACTCTTTACTTTAACACGGCAATATGATTTTTAATTTTTTTTTTATTCCAGATGTAACAGGAATAACATCCTTAACATATACAATAAAGGGGGACATTTCCAGGGCAGACTGCTACCTTATAGTGGAGACATGGATTATTTCAACTATTATCAATAAAAAGATAAAAACGCCTCCAGTCTGTACTTGATGTGATGAACGAAAGATACAGTACTTTTTGGAAACTCTTCGTGGGCCAGTGAGGATACATAGGAAATAACTCACTAATGTATTTTTATTATATCTCCAGCTTCAACAAATGACAGGCTTTCAGTAATGCGGTCCAGTTTTAGAGTATCCGCTAGCATGTGCATTTACAGTCTCACTAATGAGAACCAACACAAGTAATTCCTCATTACTTTGGAGCACTGAAGTCAATATTTAATATATTTATGTCTAAGAAAGCAGGAAAACTACACTTGTTTTGAGAATTAACTCCTGTGAAATGCCATGTTGGGTTTATTTTGTCAATGAAGTTTAAATTTGGCATACCTTAGCCCTTCAGTTTTGCTGTGCTTATCTCTGTTACAACATACATTCAGATAACTAACAGCAATTAACTACAAAAGACAAGTCTATGTTAATTCCCTGCTGGAAAAAAAATCTTCTGTCTAAATTGCTGGTGTTACTGAAGCAGCAAAAACATATTGTGACAGGGGGGAAGAAATGCATATATTAAAAACACAGGGTAACTGCATGGTGAGGAACAACAGTGGTAACGTTAACATGTTTGCAAGTACTGACACTCAACATTAACTTAGTTTGAGAAATTATAATTTAAATCTTAAAAGATGAGCATACATGATCTTCACCAAATAGTACTTACTGTTGTATTGCAAGGTGTTTGCACAACCCCTGCATATAATAGGTTTAATATCAAAGCAAACGTCTGTTACACATTTTAAACATTCCCTTCGTGTGATTTACCCATCCGTGCAGTCCCATCTGTTGTGCCGTTCAAACGCCATCATACCTGCATGTTGTCCTTCCTAGATTAATATCAAACACGATACATGTACATGGGCCATGTCTACTTATCTGGTTTCCTGTATACAGTATGAATATATGCGTGTGGAAAAGTGAGTGAGAAGGGGATACAGTTCCTTGTCCTTGCGGACCAAGTCGTTGTACATCTGTACATATGTAGTTTTGAAGTCATACACATTTGGCTTATCCGGGGCAGGACCGGGTAGCTTCACATGAGACCCTGTCCCAAATGAACGCACATCAAATCCACGTTTGCTGCAGAGATGAAAAGAACAAAACAGTAAATTACATACCATTTCTGGCAACAACTATAGAAAAAATAAAACATTGCAGAAGTAAATAATGCAGTCATCAGCCTCTTTCCATGTCGTATATAAAAAAGGTACACAATGAAGTCAGGTTTTCAATTGGTCTCCTCTATTAAAAGATAAATATTCTATGTATAACAGGGTCTATCAATTTCAATGGCTGTATTAAGGCTTAATGCACACCTCATATCCCCCTAAACAAGAGATTTAACATGTAAATTTAAAGCAAAAATGAAGGGAAAGCGTTATTTGTTTTACTTCAGCTAACCACGAGGGTGACAGTCTGTCATCAACTGTCATTGGCCCTTAAATCCTTTTCCAAGTACATACAAGTTGTACAGCTTTCCAATGAGAAAAGAGCAGCCATTAAGGATGAGATCAGGTACAATTGTTTAACAGTCCCGAACCATCCAGACCTTAAGTAGAAAAACTAATACATCTCAATTCAGCCTTTGTACAAGGTGTAAAGAGGGGGCTAATCAGAGCTGGTTACCACTCTAAAACTCCACAAGCTGCAGTTGCTCTCTTCCGGAATATTCCCTACAGGGGGGCGCTATAATCATCATGTGGGGAGAAAAGAAAACTCGGGCCGGTCATTTTTAAACGCCCTTTCTCTTTTTGAAATCAAAATCTGTGTACTTTTACTTAAGGCGACCGCGAAACCTAAACAAATACGCCTAAATCTGAGTCTAGAGTAGGCAATAGCCCCTGGGTTAACTCTAAAGCAGCGAGTCCATTGTTTACTGCGAGAGGCCCGACGGACGGTCCGACACGGTCTTGGTTTGACTCATGACGGGCTCAGAAAGCGGCACAGATTCGGTTCACTTCACGGAGGTTTTCCTGGTCCTCCTGGCGGCTCGTGTTTACCTGAGGATACTGTGCGCCTCCATACTGCGGTTCTGGTTGCTCGAGCACACAACCGCTACACGCAGCGGGTGGCTCGGCATTGCGACTCTCCGGTTGAAAATAACCGAGACAGGCTGTCAGAATTTATAAAGAATCGGTTAGGTCGATCTCTGTAAGGACGATAAACAACACAAACCCCCCTTTGTTACGCTAAATACGGTAACGGTTCGACTTAAAATACTGTGCGAGTGGCTCGTCTTCTTTAGATGGATGAAGTTAAAATGGCGGAGCTCCGTTGGTGACCACGGCTTTATGAAGTGATGTAATTTGGGGGCGGGGCTTACCGCGCATCAGGCAGAAAGTAGAAGTGACGTCACTAAAATAAAATGTAGAACTAATTAGAAACTTAAACCAATGATTACATTCGGATGGAAGCCAAGTATGTAATATTGTAAGCTACTAATAAAAACAAACCCTTTCGTTTAGTTGTAGTCATTTGAGCTATTTCCTCTCCTTTCCCTCCCCTGGTTCATGCAGGCAAACAGCCTTGGAGCTTTAACATTCTTTCTCCACAGCTGTGTCTTGGTATGACCCAGATAGTTGATTGACTTGCCCAAAAACATTCATAAAACAATCTCTTCTTCAGATGATAAGAGGACAAACAGTGTCAGACAGCAGGAAAGACATCCGGGAGTCCATCTTATCAGGTGGATAGCTCCCTGGAGCCAAGCATCCTGCTAGGAACAGAGCTTGCTTTGACTGGTTATCAAATGTTGATTATTCTCTTAGGAATAATTAAATGTTGAGGAGTGAGCAAGAGAACTAAATAATTGGTTGAGCAGCAGCTGTATTACTTTGTTTCTGCAGCAAATGTCAATTCTTCAGCTTTTCACATCAATAACACCAAGTACTCTCGTCCATCTTATCAACTTAGTCTTGAATTTAAGGCATACTTTGAGTTTATCCAAATTTAAAAACAATAACACATGTGATCACAATATTAATTTGCCAAATAACATTTAAAAAATATATTTGATTTTATTACCTATACCATTTTTATTAAGCTATATTTAGTAATCATATTATTGTTTTGTGTCTTTAATCTGACTCTCTACATAATGTTGAATGTCACAGTGATAGTGGAGTAATTATTATTATTTGAATCTATTGCCTGAAATTTCAGTAATTTTTTTTAAGACAATGTGTTTTCTTGTGTAGGAAATGTGTATATTTGTAAAACAAAGAGCTCTAACAAAAAGATTAGGTCCACTCTTATTAATAACTGTCCCTTCATTTATATTTTTTTGCTCTTTCTTATTAAGAGATTTATGGTGAGAGAAAAAAAGAAAACATTATAAATCCTAATGAAAACCAAGCTTTAAAAAGTGTCTTTTATAGGGTATTAGGATACAAATAATGCACCTCGTAGTGTTACAAATACTCTTGATATTGATTGTAATATTGAGTTAGAAATAACATGCTGTATATCCTACAACTATTTATTATTGTTGGAAAATTTCATAAATGGAGCCAAGCCAACTTCCCTGCAATTTATTAATGAAACGAAAATGAAACAATTTAGCACCATCTTATGGTAAAAACAAAAAAACATATTACTCTGTATTTGAACACATGTACAATGAATCCATTGAAAAAAGGAAAAACTTTCATCTTACAACTTTCATCTTTTTCTCTCTCTCTTTTTAAAAAAAAATATTTATATATTTTTCCTTTACTTTCAATACAATCATTTTAAAATAACTAAATAACGAGATCAAGCCTGAGTGGTTGACCAGCATCTGCCCTAGCAAAAGTTAGTTTTTATACAGATATTTTGAATTTGTGTCTGGAATTGATTGTTTGTCCAGGGATGTGAGGATGAACACATGCACACAAGAAGGAAGACAAGGAGAGCTATCAAGTATTACAAGTGACCTCATGGTACTTTATTCACTGACAGCAGGACATAAATGCTTTCCAACTCAAGATGTTTGACAAAGTATTTGGATATTTAACACCAGATTGTATTTTCCTTAAAAAATGGAACAGATCCATACTGAGGTGGACCTAAAAACAACTATACGGTGGAGTGAAAATAACGTTTTATTTGCTGTGTCGCAGCAAGGACATGACAAGTCTGGACACTTTCACAGGCTGCACATTTTGCTGCTGTTTCTGATGCCCTCAACACCATTTCATTCGTTGTATTGCTGTATAAATGCTGCCAGCACACAGAGTGACAGACCCAATCACAGACAACCTTAAAATAGAAACACAACACAGTAAACTGTATAATACTTAACTTAGGTTACCAGTTATTTTGGTTAAGTGCATCCTCGCAGAGGTTGACAAGGCATGTTATTTGCAGAGCCACAGTAGTTTGTGCTTCAATTCAGTCATAACAAATGTGAGCATCACTATATGGCCGATTGAATAATGTATTATTGACGGTGAGGGACCATGATTGGGAGATTAGATGTGGTCATCATGGATATTAAATGTATAATTCAGTGTCGCGAGTGAGTGTGGTAGGAGTATGTGTGCTGTGTAGCGGGGCTCATGATGTTTTCTGTAATGTACGCCACCAGCAAGCAGATGATGACCAGCATCACGCAAATAGCTCCCCCAACCGTTGTCATGGCAATCACAATGTCCTGCATCCCAGACGGCGGCAGGGTAAACTCAACACAGTCCCGATGGTTTTCTTTCTGAGTTGGATCAGAGTTGGCCAAGGAGCGCAGGCAGAGGCGGTATGGGATGTTCTCATGCAGCTCAGTGAGGAGAAAGTCCCTGCAGCCAGATCCAAGATGGACACCGGCACACTCAAACTGAGTGTAGCTTCCATTCCACCAGCAGCTTAACTCGTAGCCTCCCCGCCTGTGTCGTCGGCCACTGAAAACACTGTGTGGTGCTCTAGTTTCCTCTCTAGTTAAATTTGTCCCTGGCTTTCCACTGCTCCTCTGACCTGCTGCAGTCTCTTTTTTCATGGCAGATTTTGCCACATGGGTCCACTGTAACAGTACGCTGCCATTGGTGAGAATATTTGCCACCAGATTCCCCAAAGACACCACTGTCCTGCAGTCTCCCTTATGACACTCGTACCCAAACAATGTGTGTCGAAAACACAGCTGCCCACCGATGCCTCCCTCGATCACTCGGTAGGCACACAGTGGGGACACCTCCTCCTCTGGGCTCCAGTTTGGTGGCCTGCCAAACCTTTCAGATACCACAGTAGTATTATTGTCTCTGTTGGTGTTAAAGGAGAAACTATTCCCTTGGCCTGTTACCTCTTTTAGCTTTCGTGATGGCCTACTTTCTTGACTTTGATTGCCTGAGCTGGTGTTAGTCTGTCTCAGCCAGTTTATGGTTCCCAAATGATGCCTTTCTCTAGCCCCTGATGGGGATGTTGTTGTTGTTGACAGTGCTGAGCTGCTGCGATGAGATCTGCTCCCAGCTGTGTGGTGTAATGTGCAGAGCAGGAGTGCCGATAAGGCGAGCAGTGATGGTCGTTTTTGGCTTTCCATCTCACTGCCTCTCGTCGAATACTTTTCTTTCACAATGGATCAGATGGGCTGATGTCTGCCATTAGATCAGCTCTGCCTCAGTGCAAACGACGAAACCCGCTTGAAACACAATAACACGTCCATGGACGAGAGGTTCGGCGATTCATCTGCGATTAAAGAAAAAAAACTATTTAGTCATGCCTGTCAGAAAGACAGTTGAGTATGACCTTGCGTAGGATAAGCTTGCAGGATGAAGTTTACAGCGCCTAAACGGTGATAAAAGTCACCTCATTGCAGCCTCCGACTGACAGGCATTTATAAAAATCACTTACTAGTTTCGGTGGTACGAGAGGACCCGGCTATCGTGCCGTCAGATTCCCTTTCTTCTTCCTATCTGTCTCGACGTGATGCTCCGGTGCTGTGCGAGAGTGCACGTAGAGGAGCGCGCGCCGGTGTGCTTGCGAGCGTGGGTGCGTGCACAGAATATTTGTAGTCATCAAGTACATTCTGAGTCATCATCCCACACAGTGCTTCAGGTGTCTGTCAACAACCAGAGTCCTCCTGACAGACTGACAGATGCAGCGTTACTTCAACCCACCTGCTGCTCACCTGCTGTTAGCTACCTGTCAGTGGTGGACAGAAACCAAGAGCATTCACTCAAGTCTTTACTTCAGTTTAATAATCAGGAACTTCTGCTCCACTGTATTTCCATGTCCTACTACTTTAGTAAAAGTAAGTACTGCCATCCAACTGAATGTACCAAAAGTAAAAGCCTATTATTATTGAAGGATTATTATTATCAGTTTAATGTTGCAGCTACTAAAGGAGCAGTTTGTTTTCATTACCATACAGTATGGCTTGTGAATTGTATCATGGTATCAATAAAGTTGATCAACTATTAATTTATAATATTGTGCATTACTCAGCTGAATCTAAATGTTCAAAGTAACTTGAGTTAGCACCCTATGGTTAGCACGTGCATGTAGTGGAGTAAAAAGTAAAATAGTAGCTTCTGGAGAGTTAAAGCATAAATAAGCTGCTATACAGTATACTGTATGCACACAAGACCTACAGAAAATAACTAAAGGTCATTTTCTAATAAGGACCTCTTCCGATTGCATTCATGCTTTCTGTAAACTGCACTGCTTTTAAGTGCAGCTCAAATAGAATGATAGAATAAAAAGAGAAGGAAGGGGAAATAATGGTTTGTGTAGAATTGTATTGGAAGATCTTGATGTCATTTTGTCTATCCATCTCATTGTTATAACACTTAAAAAACATTCACACTACCAACAAAAAGATGTGCATTAATTTATACAAAGACCACTCTGACACAACCGTAACACAATATAACCACCACAAAGTGACTGCTGTATTGTCAGATTGCACGTACAGAGCAGGTGGCTTTCATTTAGTCTGTTCCCTGTAAAAGCTAATTACTGTTGAATGAGGTTTAAGCCACATGTTCTCTGTATAAAATCAGCATGAACAAGAGCGCCTATAAAGAAACAAGTTTATCCCAAGCATGATGGAAAAAAGATGCATCATCGCCCTCCACAATGAATTTAATTAAGCAGTGCTTATGTGAGATTATTTGAAATAATAATTGCCTCGTCCCAGGAGAGAAACTTGGCGACTCAGTAAACAATTAGTACAGGAAAAGAGTAAATAGCTGACTGCTAGGAGAAGAAAATGCTGTGTCAGTGGGACTGATTTAGATCCATTTGTCCCTTAAAGGTCACACAGGGTAATTGGTTGAATCTGTTTAATTTGCAGTAAAAGTTATTTTGATGGTATAATTATAGTTATATATTTGTATTGTCTTAACTATGGAACTTCAAGAACTACTCCTGAGAAATAAATGAGCAGATTGCTGGTCCTTCACAAAATACATTTCCATAAGTGATAGTTTAGTATGAATAACTTCATGGGAGCAGAACAGGCTGTTACAAAGCAACCCATGGCTGTTGATGCGATCATTCAGGCGAAGAGACAGCGTTGCATTTGCAGTTGGTCGTTGATGCGGGAAGAAAACGTGGAAAATGTCTGCCTCTGCGTGCACACTCAAATGATCAACATATTAGGTTAAATTAACCTTGAGCTTGTTCAGCAAAGAAACCTTCTGCGTGTCAAATGTGTTTATCTGTGTGTGTGTGTGTATATAAACGTGATGAGGACCATCAGCAGTGGTAGGGGTTTGTTGAAGCCTCGATGTTTCACTCTGACTCTCACACAAAGAAAAAGCAAAGTATGTCCCCATGCAGAGGATGATGCCATGTCAGAAGACCTCACTGTAGAGGCTTTTTTGTTTGGGTTCTTGGTCTTTTCTGGCATCCTGGGAAACATCTTGGTCATCCATGTGGTGAGATAACAAAGAGACTAGTAATTGTTGATGGAGCTGTATGTTTTGGATTGTACTCAGTGTGTCTTGTTGTCTCAGGTGTTTCAGTCAGCCGTGGACAGTCCGTCAGGAAGACTCCCTCCCTCTGACACCATCTTGGTGCACCTGTCACTGGCCAACCTTCTGACCTCACTTTTCCGCACAGTGCCCATCTTTGTGTCAGACCTGGGCTTGGATGTGTCTCTGTCTCCGGGCTGGTGCCGAGTCTTCATGCTGCTGTGGGTGTGGTGGCGAGCTGTGGGCTGTTGGGCGACGCTGGCCCTTAGCGCCTTCCACTGCACCACCCTGAGGAGGCAGCACATGGCCCATGGACCCCTGGCTCAGCAGAGGGAGAGGAGGCGGGTCTGGATCGTTCTAGGAATGGTGTGGGGGGCAAACCTGGTCACCTCAATTCCAGCTCTGATATATAGCACCCATGTTCACGGCAACTTCACTGTAGAGCTGATGGTGATCAGCTGCACCACCAGGCCTCTCCTGGGCTGTGTGTGGGAGTTCCCCTCCCTTCAACAGGGCTCAGCCTTCGCCTCTTCCTCGCTCGCACTTAACGAGGTGTTGCCCCTGGTGCTGATGGTTTGCACCAACCTGGCCACACTTCATGCTCTGGCGAAGCACATCCGAGCTGTTACGGCAGGGGGAGAGTCAGGAGGAGCCCATGGGGATATGGAAAAACACGTGTCCAGTGAACGCAAAGCTGCTAATGTAATCATGTCGCTGGTGTCGCTCTTTGTGGTCTGCTGGGTGCTACAGGTTGCTGCGGTGACGTACTACAACCATGACGGGGGACACCACGCTGAGGGGCTGCTGACTGTGGCCCACTTCTCTGCCTCACTGTTTGTAGGATTCAGTCCCATGGTGGTGGCCCTGGGACATGGCAAGCTGAGGAGGAGAATCAAGCGTATGCTCCTGATGTGGACTAAAGTTCTTAAATGTCACAGGGAGGTCACTGAAAACGGGGGTGAATCCCCAAAGACTGAAGGCAAAAAGAAGGGAAAACAAACAGTTTTTATTGTTGAAAAAGATAGTAAGGTCATACAAGTTAAGGGGAAAGTTAAAGAAGATAAATAATGGAAGCAAAAATGAAAATGCGACTACTTTAATAGCAGGGATGCATCCTCAATATGAAGGCACCAACTGCATGTGTCCTCTGGACAGAACTTTTGTCAAGTATTATTTGAGGTTATTCTGAGATATTTCAAGCCATTAAGTGCAAGTCAAGCAGAGACACAGTATGTTTTCTGAGTCACAAATTATTATCAGCAGGGGATTTGTTTTCTTGTATGGTCGAAACTAGTTAATCTAATTCAATCTATCATTGCTTCTTTGTTGTTTCTTTTGAGCTAAGATGTATTCAAATAATCTTTTAGCCAAAATCACATACAATGTCTCAATATTTTACATGCCTAAAAAAACAAAAGCTCAAACCAAATTCAATAAGCCAAAGAAAACTCTTCCAAAATAGTGTTGTACAGAGGACAAATTAGAGAAAAGTACTCAACATGTTGACCCCCTTTAAATGTGTTTTTGAAGTTGATGCAAACAATAGCTTTTGATTAGCGGTATTGTGAGAGCTGCACGGGGCTCTGTCATTTAGAGAGCATAGACTTGATGAACGAACGCAGCCGCCGGTGGCCCACTGCCAGAACAGCCGGTGACATGGCAATGAAGATGATGTTGGCAAAACGAGCGATGACCAGAAGAAACTCTGCTGAGGAGCCGCGGTTGTAGTTGAAATAGTTGACTGAGATGATGCTGGTTCCCCAGGATGCAATGAAGAGCATTATGAGAGCAAGAATTACCTGAGAAAAAAACATGGGAAAAAGGATGGAAGTAAAACCGATGAAATATGTTATTGACTCCAATAAAAATGAAAAACAATCCTATAAGGAAACTGGTGTACATTTAAATGTTTTATCCTATCCACTAGTTCAGTTGCAGTTTTATTTACAAACTCTTAAAAGGTGAAATCTAAAGACCTAACAGAGACATGTGAATAGCGTAAACCTGATAATCTTTCTGAAGCTTGAGAGTGGCCCAGATACTTAGGAATATTTTAAATACAGTATAAGTTGACTTATACACTATTAATTTATACTGTAAAATACTGCTATTTGACCAAAAATAATCACTACTCATCCACATGATGAACATGGCTTCAGTGAGCTCTTCACACCCTTCCTCCTCTTCCTCACCTTGGCTGCTCTCCTCTCAGCAGGCACGCGCTTTATGACTGGTGCATCTGGTACCGAGCTCCTCATCCTGCTGTGGGTGTAGAGCGTGTAGAGGGAGCCCAGGTTGGTGAAGGCCATTAGGATTATGGGAATAGTTTCATGGATCACCATAGATGTGGTGGCGTAGGCGAGGCCGCTGTAGCTGGAGGGGAAGTTCCAGACACAGCCCAGCAGGGGGCGCGTCGTGCTGCTCACCAGCATCAGGGTCTGAGAGAGGAGGAGGAAGATGAGAGTGGAGGAAACAGGGTGAAAGATACACAGGGTTAGCAATTTAAGGAGACAAATTAACTCTATAGAAAAAGAGATAAACTTAGACACATAAAAGTAGTTTCAACCCCATTAATCTCTCAAGGGAGAGATTAATGTTGTTTTATGATTGAATACAAATGAGTATGATCAGGAAACTACCTATAAATACATTTTTTAAAAGCCTCACTCAAAATGTTCTAAATGCTCAATTCATTTAAATCCAACCATTTTCTCAGGGTGGATGCAAAATCACATACATATATTGAATCATGTGTAACTATGTTTGCTCCACATGAAATATTAGTTGATTAGGGATTTGTATATATAGAAATGTCTTTAAAAGTAATGTTTTAACTGAAATAAATGCAAACTCAATGTTTACTGAAAGCAGGTTATTTAACAATGCGGATAATCAGCTCTAAAAGCAATGAATAGTAACCAGCTTTGAATTGTTAAAAAATGTAAAGCACATTTAAAAACAAGTAGCAAGGTGTGGACAATCATTAGCTGTGATTTAAGGTGTACA